GGGGAGTTATGTCGTAGAAGTCGAGGCTACTGCCAGTCAGTGGTTCTACTTAATTAATGAGCTCCGTTTAGTATAGAGGCTGCAAAAGTTTGAGCAAAGTATGTATCCGTTGGAAAGTTGGCCTTTCGTACACATCTGTGGTTTGCGGCACGTGAAGTTTCATGCAGTTTATGTTGCGGAACCGGTTTCTGTTTCGATTTTATCAGTAAAAAGTGCAAATTGTTTAAAGATAGCCTATGGGGTAGGGGGAGGAGGGAGAGTGAGGGTGATTATTATAGCATGTAGTTTCCTGCATCCCTCTTACAAACAATAGCCGTTATACACCTCATAAGAATGAAGTCAAAAGTATGTAGCTGTTATCTCAGCGTAGGTGTGTCTTCAAAAGTCCTGACACCAAAAGCGACTAAGTTCAAATATTTAAACTTCAGTAACTGTTTCGGGTTTGTTGCTTTTGCATTTGAACCTTCTTTCAATATTTAACTGTTTTGTTTCTGTTCTTTACCAGTTCTTCTTCTCTTTGAAACTTTGAAGATATTATATTAATGAAATCCATTTCAATTGTCATAAGCTTACACTGATTCAACTGTATGTGATATTTCTTCAGCCGTGCTATTTTACATTTATTCTGTCATGTAATTATTTCCTATACTATTTTAATTTTTTTTGAAATACGGCTTCTCTGGATTCCATTTAGGCAATAAAATTCAAATTTGAAATTAATGAATTTTTGACTGTTAGTCTGACTGTCTATTGATTGAGTCTCAATGATGGAGGCAATCAGAGTTGCTGGTTTTATACTAACGATGACTTCAGTGTTTCAATAATGACTTCAAAAATGTATTAGAAGGAATAATGTAGATGTACATATGGTAGTAGTAACAAATGCTTCTTAAAAATCATTGGCTTCGGCTCAATTAATCCGTCATTAATTTTGATCATAATTTTTTTAGGGTCATAAAGTGGCTTACATTGAATGGGAAGAAGGTTCACAATTTCCATTTTACGATATCGCCATAGAAAATGTCCCAATAGTCGGCAAAGGCATCGCAAGGTTCGTTAAGCATGCGCCTGAAATTTCGCCCGCCAATTTGACGTGCATCGGATTCAGTCTTGGAGCGCATGTATGCGGATTTGTGGGCAAGGCATTGCGAAACTTGTACAGAATAATAGGTATTAACATTTCACGATGGCCATGAATTGTTTTTGCCTCGATGCATTATTGATACATAATTTTGACATTCCAAGTATCACGCATCTTTCCGACATTTTGTTCAGTTGGCCAATGGATCATTGTCATACTTTAAAGGATAGGCAGGGCAATGAAAACAATTTCCAACTTCTTTCTTTGGGGGAGATGCCGGGGGGAGGGGTTAATGCAGGCGATGTTTTCCAACCATTTCATGAATTCAGAAACAAATGTCTGCAAGCAATGAATGAGAACTGTTTTACATGACAGATCGACAGCTGCCTTCATTTGTTAAAAGGGGTTCCGACATCGGTGATGCCACATTGGCTTGTATTGGTTTCAGCAACGTTATTTTCTCTGATTTACCAAGGACGCTACTGATGCGTCATATTTTCAGACGTAAATATGAACGATGATATTCAAGCTTTAATAATGACAATTTGAAATTTCACGACTACATGGTAACTAGGAAGAAAGAGAGTGACAAACGCTATCCCTTGCTTCGATGAACGAATGCACTAACTACAAGGTGGAAAATATTTTTGCTTCAAATTTTCAGGTATTTACCATCCAAGTACAGAAGAGCGATGTTTCCTGTTCCTTTGCAAACATTCTTCTTCAGATATCCTTCTGAAGCGTAGATCGGCCTTGTGTGCAATTTGCCTTTCCCGGTTCAAGGGTAGGACCCATGAGGAAACGAGTTTTCTTCAGGATTTATTGTTGATGAGTATGCATGGAGCATTCAATCATTCAAACCAAATTTGTAATTGCCTTTCCCTTTATCTAGACTCAATGATCTTGGAAAACAGAAATGATAAAAATAGTCGTCCACTCGTAATAGAGCCTGTTACATATCTCTTGCAATTATAGAATAGGAAAATTTAAACCTCCTTAACTCGTCAGTTGTTGATGTTGAGAGTTACAAACAGAACGAAGAACACAAAATTGGAATTTGTGGAACGATCGTACATCCTCTTTTCACTCAACGTAGGCTTATTTTTGGCCATTTCAGGAATGCGCTAGCTACTTCCTAATACTAGTACTTGTTAATTCAGTGTAATTTTGGAAGCTGAGCTTAAACAGTCCATATTTGAGGGCTTCGAGAGTGATAACTGTTGTCAGTGACGTGGACGGACATTTTCTGTACAGAGGGAGTTTTGCCGAATTAGATAATAACTGTAAATCAGTCATTTTCATTCATTGTGTATCGCAACGGTGACTACTAGGTTTGGATCCCGCCGGTCCGGAGTTCGACGAAATACCTCACGCCAAGAGGCTGAGGGAAGGCGATGCCAGCTTTGTTGAGTGCATTCACACGGATGCAACCTTCGGAACAACAGAAGCTGTTTGTGATCAAGACTTTTTCGCCAACGAGGGACACGATCAGAAGTTGTGCGAAAACGATCTGTCTTCAGAAGAGTATCTCTCGAGTAAGCAAATCATTCTAAACGCCACACAACCTCGTTTTAGTTGCAGACATGATCGACCAAATGACCTGCAGTCACTCTTTGGCCCACGAAATTTTCATACAATCCATCAGAGATTATGAGGAAAATGGCACGGGCTGCAGATTTACCTCTGTTCCATGTTCGTCCGAAAAGCTGCTTCATAAAGGCCACTGCTTCAAGTGTCGCAAGAACACCGCCACTTTGCCAGCAGCCGGCTTCGAGGCCAGGCAGACAAATACGCATTGGCAAGGGAGGTTCTATTTCGCTACGACTTTCATTAAAGAAAATCTCTGCGGTAAACAAAGGCAATAACAGCAAATAATCAACTGAAATTTCATGAAAATTAAATTATTAATTTTCTGCAGAAATTATTCCGTTTTGGACGTAAATATGAACATGCATTTCTTGTTTGTTTTCACGCCGTTTGGAGGGACTAATAATTGCAGACGACTGGACTAGTGCTTCGGTGATTCTTCTCTTCAAAATGGACACAAAGAACATCAGTTTGTTGTCAATCAGCTACAATATCTTCATGAAGGTTCTATCTAGTAGACATCAAGAAATAGTAGACTCACTATAGCTAATGAGTATGTAGATTTCGGAAGAGGATTAGTCAGAGCGTTGTATCATTTTCAGCTAGCATAATGAGTGTTTTGGACAAATAACGAATATCAGCTCCCTCTCTGCTCGGGATTCGTCGATTTGAAGACATCGAACTATACCCGATCGATATTGAATTCTGTGAGTACCAGAGAATCGAGAAAAAATACAAAAACCTCATGGTTGCGACTTTCATGAAACCAACTGCCAGCGCAGATCTGAACGAAACCAGAAGCAAGTTCAAAATTTAAAAGGGCGTCTGACTGGGAAACGCAGTGTCACCAAATTTATTCACTGTAACTCTGGAAGAGGTTCCCACACACTAAGTTTGAAAAATGAGGTGCTAAACATAAATGGACTCTACACTCAAGCACCTGCGGTCTGCAGAGAATATTTTATCCTCTAAGATCAACAGCAGAATTCCAGGGAAGAATCAATGAATTGAAAA